GTGTTTATTGTATTCACCAAATATATGAAAGTACTAATACATTTTTTATTCATCATTTATTCAGTAATTAGGTATCTACTATGAATCAGGACTTTAGCTGGTATTAAGGATACTAAAATGAGTAAGTCCTAGCCACTGTCTTCAAGTGTTTCATGGTCTAGTGGAGGGTGCAGAAGGCTAGAACTCAGATATTAAAAATGATAAGTGCTTTAATAGATCACAATTGCAGCCAGAAGATTCACTTCAAATTAGAAGGTGTGTTATCTTGGGATTATGATTTCAGTTCTGTAAGGTTCAGTCTTGTCATCTGTAGAATAGGTATAGCAATATCTACTTCATGAAATAAAGTGATGTAAAGACAATGTACTCCATGCTTTGTGGAAGAAGTAAGGGTAGGTAATATACATCAGATATTATAGGCCTAAGGGACTGAATGACTGAGCACATTAATAATTAATTCTAGAAATCCATGAATAGAGTCAGCAGTAAGAATTGGAAAGTGATTTTTTAAAAAAGTGTTAAGGAGAATAAAGATCAAAAGAGTAGAAATCATAAAGAAAGAATGGTGGCCGGGCATGGTGGATCACACCTATAATCCCACCCCTTTGAAAGGCCAAGGTGGGCAGATCACTGGAGTCTAGGAGCGTAAGACCAGCCTGGGCAATGTGGCAAAACCCTGTCTCTAGAAAAAAAGCAAAATTTAGCTGGGCATGGTGGCACATGCCTGTAGTCCCAGCTACTCAGGAGTTTAAGGTGGGAGGATTGCTTGAGCCTGGGAGGCAGAGGCTGCAGTGAGCCAAGATCACTCCTGCCTGGGTGACAGAGCAAGATGCTTGTCTAAAATTAAATACATTAAATTAAATTAAATTAAATAGTAAAAAATAGAGTAGGCATAGAAAAATATTATTAGAGTTTTACTATTCTATCTAAAACTGTCCCCAAATCCTGTTACCTGAATAGAAAATGAAAAAGAAAAAAATAGCCTTGATGAAAAATAGTTGTAAAGATTTTCCTAAAGAACCAGCCCTAGCTGTGTTCCAACTAAGCCCAAACTGTTTTATAACACATTCTACAACTCAGGAAGAGTATAGGATATTCCCCTAGTTTTCTTGCTCTAGCTTTTACAGTTGTTGCCCATGTACTTAGCCAAGGTCACGTGCTCAATGATCCAGTCCTGAGTTATGCTTTTGACTTCCTGTCTTTCAGAACCAGCTTCTGACCTCTACCTCCAATCTGCCCCATACCTCCCTGATGCTTCCCTAGTTCTGGGCCTGGTTGCTGACTGTTGTTTTTGAGATTCTGACTCAGGAATCTAGTGGTTTAACTAACAACCTTCCTACTTTTTTCTTCTTATGCAGTTATCTCAGGCTCCATACAGAAACTCTTAATAAGACTCACAGCATTAAACCAGGAACACAGACAAATGCCTACAGGGGATGTGAAGTGAGTCCAGGAAAAAGCAATAAATAGGGAGTTTCGAGGATTGTTGCAAATAGTAATAATGCTCTGACCAAAGATACTCAAATTTAATTTAAAAAGGCAAAACATAATTCTAGTCAAATAGTTTATGTTCACAGGTCAAGGGGGTTTGGTCTGCAAGACCTGAATAAACACATAATGCTCCCTAGACCTCTCTAGGTGAATCCCTATATGAATCTGCAGCTGCCTCTGGCCCTGGAAGGTGCTGTTCATAGAAAAATGTGTCACAGTTTTGCCATCTTATTTTTTTCCTGAGACAGAGTCTCACTCTGTCACTCAGGCTGGAGTGATGTGGCGTGAACATGCCTCACCGCAACCGGAACTCCCTAGGCTCATGGGATGGATCATCCTGCTTCAGCCTACTGAGTAATTGTGACCACAGGTAAACACAACCACATCTGATGAAATTTTTGTAGAGACAGGGTCTCACTTACCATGTTGCCTAGGCTGTTCTTGAACTCCTGGGTTCAGAGAATCCTCCCACCTTAGCCTCCCAAAGTGCTGGAATTAGAAGCATGAGCCACCACATTTAGCAATTTCTTTTTGACAAAAAGGCAAAAGGAGGTTTTTACAATAGACAACAAGGCTTAAGCTAGTTTTCTGAGGATCCAACACATTTGGGCACAAAGGTCTGAAGCTGGTCTGCTAGAGGTATATTATAAAAAGGAGACTGATATTTAATTCACCCATTCTTAATACCCAGGAACATTCTGAGGTTGGAGCCAGTACCTTTTCCTATTGAACAAGCAGACAGAAAAAGAATGGCCCATGTGGGCATAGGCTCCCTATGTGAATAGTGAAAGACACATATCTAAGAAGAACCTAAAGGGGGCTGGGCATGGTGGCTCATGTCCATAATCCCAGCACTTTGGGAGGCCAAGGTGGGCAGATCACAAGGTCAATAGATTGAGACCATCCTGGCCAACATGGTAAAACCCTATCTCTACTAAAAATACAAAAACTAGCTGGACGTGGTGGCACCCAACTGTAGTCCCAGATACTCAGGAGGCTGAAGCAACAGAATCCCTTGAACCCAGGAGCCAGAAGTTACAGTGAGCTGAGATCTCAGCACTACATTCCAGACTGGCTACAGAGAGATTCTATCTCAAAAAAAAAAAAAAAAAAAAAAAAAAAAAAAAAAAAAATAGAAGAAGAATGAGAAAGGAGAAGAAGGAGAAGGAGAAGGAGAAGCAATTAAAGGGATCCTCACCCTACTTCAGAGCTGTCATTTGCAAATGGCACCTAAAGGCTGGAAGGCCAGGCCTTTCAACTGTAAGTGCTGGAGAGCTCCTTGCTGTCTGTCACTGTCTTCATGCAGTTATTCTGGTTATCGTATCCTTTACTCATATTAAAGATGTATCTTTAGCCTGGAATCATTGGTACCTTTCTGTCAATCACTGTCACCAAGTAGCAACTACCAGGTAATTATTCACAGATGTACAAATAATGTATAATTATAAACTGCTTGCTAAAGTCTTTTAATGACTTTACCCAAGGTGTTCCTCATTTTGTCTCTGGGATAAGAAAAAAATGAGCACTTAGGAGTATGTTAATTGAGGTCATAATTGGCTGATATGTGTAATCAGTTTTTTCATGTATTTCTCAACCTTTTGCCTGACTATCCTGCAATTCCACCCCAATTAAAAAACAAATTTATTGAATATATGTGTCCTTCTTTCATTGCAAAATATCTTATTCCCCAGAATATTTCAGAAAGGGCAAGACAACCTTGCTTTCCGGCTGTTTGCAAGCATTATGCCTTTGAGTCATTATGCAGAGCTTTTTAAAAAATCAAGACATGTATTCATGATATCTGTTAACATATTTATTTACATCACTGGAACATGACTTCTGCATATGGACATATTTTAATAGTTAAAATTTAAAAAAAAAACTATAAAACTACATAATTCTCCATATTTATAATTTTTAAATAAACAGCAAAATCCTGAATAAGAGGCTTCAACTTAAAAAAAAAAAAAAAAAAAAAAAAAAAAAAAAAAAAAAAAAAAAAAAAAAAAAAAAAAAACTAGTTTGAAATGATTTCTCTCAAGGAAGGAGGAAGGAGTGACCTGAATTTTACAAGTAGAAACTTTCTGAGTAACACCTGAATCATCAGGGCAGGTTATATTTTTTAAAATCAAATTAATTTCTGAATACGACTTGTTTTTTATATTTCTTCTGCCCTCAGAACTTAATAATTGGGGAAACTTTCAAATACAATAGGTGAACATATTTAGTCATTTATATTTTTGTATAAGTAACATTCAATGTGATAGAGCTTATGACATCATTTAAATGAAATTAAAGATGTCTGGGCTTAACCAACTACAATACTAGCAGCAAATGATTCTTTGTGTTCAATGTAATACTATGGTTTCCAGTAGATTTTCAATTTTTTTCTATCAGCTTCATTTGAAATCATAATATCATAAACATTCTAAATTTGATAGTATAGATCTTCATTTTAAATATTCAGGAAACATTTATAATTTCTAAGTACTTTATAGTGAATTATATCACACACTGAGTCAAATCTTGTTACTAAACAAGTATGAATTTACCAGATAGTAATTGGTATCATGCTACTTGCTAGAAAAACTACTAAACTTAAGATATGCTTTATATGAAAGGAGATTATACCTTTGAGGACAGGAAAATGCCTTACTCATCTTGGCATTCATGTTTTTATCCTGCAAAGCTGAGCTCAATATTTTACCAACAGTAGGAACTCAACAAATATTGAATGGAATGGTTTATCTAATAAAATTTCTCTCTTTCATTCAGTTTCTTAGCTTATGCTGGTTCTCAAACTTTAGCTTTTAGTTTTGCATAAGCATTACTTGGGAGTTTAAATTCTGCCAACTACTAATCTCACAATTCTTTTCAATTAGTTATAGAGAAGCTTAGGAAGCTACAGCTTTCAGACTACCAGAAATACCAACTTATGAGTTACCAAGAGTTCATTTCTTGTTAGAGCAGCTCAGAACAAGTCAGAGCATTTATGGAGAAAGAGTAGAATGTAAATAATAGCCTTCCTTTTGGCTCCATCCCAATGAGGGTTGGGTGGGTGATGGTTATATACATATACTATATATCAGGAGTCCCCAAACTTTTTACACAGGGGTCCAGTTCACTGTCCCTCAGACTGTTGGAGGGCCGGACTATGCAAGGTGTGACTGCTGCCTCCACTATCCCAGACAATGGTATACAGTGTCACAGGCCCAGCACCGCCTCCAGTGCTGTATACAGGGATGGTGGTGATCAGCCCATGACACTGTGTATACAGCGTCCTGGACATCTGCAGCAGTTGTGGGCCTCTTCTGTGGGAATCCCACTGCTGCATGTTTCCCCTATTATAAGACACCTCCTAAAAATAAGACAGCCCTGTCTTAGGGGGTAAAATTAATATAAGACAGGGTCTTATAACAGGGGAAACACGGTGTGTAGTAATGTGGGGGGAGACTTTTGGGCAAAGGGAGGTTATAGGGGCCATTATGTTGTTGTACATTTGGGGGAGTATGGGGGCCATTGTACTGTGTAGTAATGGTTATAGAGCTTTGCCTTTCTTCCTACTTCTGCCGTTATTTCACACTGCTTCCAGTGATGTGGGGTGCCGCAGCCGCAGACCGGATGTGCGTCATATGACGCGAAGTGCTCTGGAAGCCGGAGCCCTGATGCATGCGTCCTGCATCACCAGAAGTAGTACTGTACGTGAGCGACACCACATTTTGCAGTGCCACCACATACTGTGCTCCTCTCACTGACCACCAATGAAAGAGGTGCCCCTTCCTGAAGTGTGGCGGGGGCCAAATAAATGGCCTCAGGGGGCTGCATATGGCCCGCAGGCCGTAGTTTGGGGACCCCTGCTAAGTATGTACAAGAATCTGTGTAGAAATAACATGCATCCTGGATCCCTTACTCCAGGCAACAATTAGCCTTTCTTCCCCTCCCCAAGAGGCAATATACAACAATGAGGCAATGTGCTACAATGAATAGTGCACAGAACTTCAGATCACACAGACCTAAGAAACCTCAAATTCTCCCTCCAATATTTAACAAAAGTGAATTTGGGCAAGTGACTTGAACTCCCAAGTCAGCTTCATTTTATATGTATATATATATATATATATACACACACACACACACACACATATATATAATTTTATAAAATATTATTATATATTATATATTATTTTTATAACATTTTATAATATATTAATATATAACATATATTTATTTATTTTATTATATATATATGAAGAGTAATAACTAGCTCATAGGATTTTGTGGGATTAGAAAAGCTCTTTTTTGTATAAAGCCTTTCATAGCATATATTCCAGAATTGTAACTATTATTTTTTTCCATTTGCAGACCCTAAGTTAAAGAAATAAAATACTGCATTATCAGTAACATATACTTATACACTAGGTGAAAATGTCACCGTGACTCAAAAAAATAAGTGTGTGTGGAAGAGATGAGCTTCGACATTGATTCTTAACTTGGGATGGGATGATTACATGATTCATATTGATGTATTTGTCCACCTATAATTTGACATAGGATTTTGCTAAATGTTGTCAGTTGAAAGTATATCTGGCCTGAATAAAAAGTTATATTTCATATTTTAGTAGATATGAAATTTGACTCTTAAAATGTCAGTTCCAAAATCTTTAGAAATAATAGTCATCTTTTTACTGGAGTCTCAGACAATAATACATAACTTTGTGAAATAAAAAAGGTAAAGTATAAAATCTATAAATGGCAATATATTTCAACAAGTGAAGAGAAACAACAAAGCAGAAGACTTCAACACTGTAAATTGAATGCCAACTTTCTTTTTCACTTAGCTTCTCCCCCACGTATTATGCTCTTACAGGTTTTGAATGACTCTAACATGTCAGTGCCTTCATACATTCTTGAATATAGTGAAATTGGAGATCCCTTTCTGGAAGCTCCAAAGTTACTGACTGTGACAAAGTAACTGACAGAATATGGCAATTAAGCTATGTTCATATTAGATACGGCTCCATTTATTTATTTATTTACTAACCAAAATGATTTGAGGTTCCAAATTATGAAGCACAGCAAAGCAACAGTGGTTTTCAGGGACACACTGAATATTTAAATAACTTTTAAATAAATGATCATGACTTTGTTGGTTTTTCTTTGTGGAGCACTAAAATGATGATGATGAATATTATGACGAGAAAATAATAATATACATTAAACAATCCCTGCAAACCATTAAACAATGATACTTAACTATTCTTTACCTCTATTTTCTAGTCTATATAATACAGGTAACAATTATACTCACCTCCACAGGGTGCGCTGAATGTTAAATATGTTAATAAATCTGCTGGTCTCAGCATGTAACAGGTTATTTGAGGGTGTCTGTAATTACTATCATCCCATTTGTAAAATTGAAGGCAGTGCATATGCTGTTATCCTAACTTGGGGAGTAGAGGACGCTGAAGTTCAGCAAGGTTAATAATTCTCTCAAGTCCATGTGGGGGACATCAGTGGAGATCCAAATTAAATCCCAGTTCTCTGATTACAAGAACTCTTTCCCTAACTCAGCCTTCTCACAGAAAACTGCAGAAAGCTGGTGAGCCATCCCACTTGCAGCATGCCCTATTAGTGACTTTGTCAGAGTACCGGGCCTGAACCAAAGCCAGTTCTGTGCTTCTTTAAATCACTCTATGTAAGAGAGAAGTAATTTTAACATGCTTTTCAGTTAAGTGTACTTAAAGCAAAACTCTCAAGCTTTCCAATGACTAAATGCTAGAGGAAATAATGGGAATAGTCAATACCTGTAACTGAAAAATTGCTGACTGTGTGACATAGCAAACTCTTACACTGCTCAAATATCCATTTATAAAGCTGGAGTGATCACAGCTGTCTGGGCCAATTCATCTTAGCCTCTCTTGATTTGGAATGAATATTTGGTTGGTTCAGATAGCAAAAGCCTTTGACCCACAAATGAGAGGCTAGGCTTGCCAGATCTAGTAAAAAAAAATACATGCTTCCTAGTTGAATTTTAATTTCAGATAAACAACCAATACTTCTTTAGTATGGTACAAATGTTGCATAAGGCATATTTAAACTAAAACATTACTTGCTATTTATCTGATAGTCACATTAAACTGAATGTCCTGAATTTTACCTGGCAATCCTAGCAGGGGCTTACTTCAAAAAGTTCCTTCCCAAGACTAAACACGAAAGGGAGGACGTTGTTATAGAATGAATGTTTGTGCCCTAATCCTCCATTTGGTGGTATGTGGAGATGAAGCCTTTGGAAGGTAATTAGGGTTAGATGAGGCCAGGAGGGTTAGGTTCTCATGATGTGATTAGTATCCTTATAAAAGCAGAAATCAGAGAGCTTGCCTTTTCCATCCCCTAAATGTGCACAAAGAAGAGACCATGTGATCACACAGCAAGATGGCAGCCAACTACAAGGCAAGAGAACAGGCTTTAGAATGAAACCTACCTTGCTGGCACATTGATCTTGGACTTCCCAGACTCTAGAACCATGAAAATTAAACTTGTGTTGTTTAAGCTACTCAGGCCATGGTGTTTTGTTATGACAGGCCAGGCAGACTAAGATAGTAATACTAAGCATTTTGGGGCAGTGGCAACCATGCAATCACACTCAAACCCTTCACTAATGGTGGTTCCAAGCTGTGTAGATAACCCTTCTTTGCCTGAATTTCTTGAGTCCCCAAGATATCCAATCCCTAAAGAAACTAGCATGTAAATAAGGGAAGTCATGTGTTGGTTTTTTTCCATTGAACTGTAGTTAAAATTTCTCCACGATTGGCTGCACCTTTCCTATTTTGTTGTGCATTTCTCAAACTAGATTCCATTTTACTTTTTCCCAGGCTATACCCTTTCAGGTTCCAGTCACTGTTGTACAACTGTTATGCTTACAGTCTATTTTTAAATCCCACCAAGAATGGATTTAGACATGTAAATCCCTGGCCTAGTCACTTTTAGTCCCTTTCCTTATTGTTTTTTAAATGTTGTTTTATAACTGAATGGCAAATTCAGATTTTCTTTATTACTTTAGAAAATTTTTGTTGTAGAACTGTTGAAAAGCTTAGCCTAAATTCCAAATTCTTTTGCAAAATTTGTGTGTAGACTCCAAAATCTCCATCTTGTTAAATAAACTTTCCCAATTATCTTGGCACACACGTATTAATCTAGATCTTTTCAGATTTCTACACTGCATTCTCCACTAGGCACTTTAGCTCTTGGTTATAAACTCTAGTTTAGTTTGGTTATAAACTAGGGTTTGGTTGAGCTCTTGGTTATATATTATGGTTTAGTTTCTCCTCCATTCCCACTCCATTTTTTTCCCGAATTTTTTCCCATGTACACACACATGTGCGCTTACACACACACAAAATTCTTAATCCTCACTTATTTTTCATTCATTTTTTAAACATATTTTTATTTATTTATTCATACTGTACTTTAAGCTCTGGGGTACATGTGCACATACTGCAGGGTTGTTGCATAGGTACACACATGCAATGATGCTTTGCAGTCTCCATTCCCACATTGCCTAGATCAGGCATTTCTCCCAGTGTTTTCCCTCCCCAGCCTCTCTGCCCTCTACTGCCCCTCTCCTAGCCCCTCCAACGCCCAACCTACCCTAGTGTGTGATGTTCCCCTCCCTGTGCCCACATGCTCTCATTGTTAAACACCCACCTATGAGTGAGAACATGAGGTGTTTGGTTTTCTGTTCTTGTGCCAGTTTGCTGAGAATGATGGTTTCCAGCTTCATCCATGTCCCTGCAAAGGACATGAACTCATCGTTTTTTATGGCTGCATAGTATTTCATGGTGTATATGTGCCACATTTTCTTTGTCCAGTCTATCATTGATGGGCATTTGGGTTGGCTAAGGTCTTTGCCATTGTAAACAGTGCTGCAATGAACATATGTGTGCAAGTGTCTTTAGAACAGAATAATTTATAATCCTTTGGGTATATACCCAGGGATTGCTGGGTCAAATGGAATTTCTATTTCTGAATTCTTGAAGAATTACCACACTGTCTTCCACAATGGTTGAACTAATTTACACTTCCACCAACAGTGTAAAAGTGTTCCTTTTTCTCCACATCCTCTCCAGCATCTGTTGTCTCCAGATTTTTTAATGATCGCCATTTTAACTGGCCTGGGATGGTATCTCAATGTGGTTTTGATTTGCATTTGTCTAATGACCAGTGATGATGAGCATGTTTTCATATGTTTGTTGGCCTCATAAATGTCTTCTTTTGAAAAGTGTCTGTTCATATCCTTTGCCCACTTTTTGATGAAGTTGTTTTTTTTTTTTTTTTTTCTTGTAAATCTGCTTTAGTTCTTTGTAGATTCTGGATATTAGCTCTTTGTCAGATGGGTAAATTGTGAAAATATTTCCCATTCTGTTGGTTGCCAGTTCACTCTAATGATTATTTCTTTTTCTGTGCAGAAACTCTTAAGTTTAACCCATTTGTCTATTTTGGCTTTTGTTGCCATTGCTTTTGATGTTTTAGTCATGAAGGCAAACATAATCAGTGAAGTACTAAATACACAGCAGTTGTTTAACACATCAGCTGTTGATTATTTTCTGATATTTGCCTGAATTACATGCAATTATTTTTATTTTTTGAAATTATTTCTGTATTTTACCTTATTATTAATCTAAGAGAAAAACAAGAAAAAAATTTTTATCTGGAAAAAATAAAATCATTCTTGAGAAATTTTCCATAAAGTACTTGCAAAAAGGTAATGTAAAAAGAACTGTGGTTTCTGAAATTTACTTAAGGCCTTCTGGATGTTGATCTTTTCACTCTGAAGCTGATTTGTTTTTGCCCCTGAGCTTATAAGCACAGATAATTTGGTTGCTTGGATTGCCACTGAGTCTAATAAGTGTTGGTCATTAATAAAACTTTTCCAGAACATGAAAATGACATAGAAAAGGTGCATTTATATTATGAAACTTGAGTATAAATGATTCTTGGGAGGAAAAAACTTCCAAATTATGGAAAGATGAAATTTACTCAACTTTTAAAGATCCAAAGGGAGATAATATGCATGCAGTAATGCTTGTTTAACAGACTTGGGCTGAGCTTTTCCACCCAAAATAGACATATTTTACATAATAATGCTATATATTGGTTTATTATAAGTTACATGAGCCTGGATTCCTCTGTAAGTATTGCTTACTTTACTTCATTTCAAATTCATTACGGAATTCATGGCTGTTTTGTGCTTTTTTAGAAAAAGATATTTCCCCAATGGCTATTTTACCTCCTTTCACCTGGCTTCTTCACCTCCTCCAAGTTCTAAATTCTGACTATTAAACATGATTTAATGAGCTGAGAGTAGGTGTGTTCCTTCTCTGTGATTACCCAATACCCTGTGCATACCTCAATCCTGCCAAGTTGCAATCTTCATTTTGCCTGGCTATCACTTGTGCTAAACTACTGGTTCTTCAGGAGCAAGGGCTGGCTATTATACTCAATGTGCAGTAAGTCCTAGCACATGCTGGTACTTGACATATGCTTGATATATGAATTAAAAATGAGCTCAGGCACTCAATACTAGAGGCAGTGCAGTAAAGTGGCTGAGAGCAAGACAGTGTCTGCAGATCCTGGGCTTAAATTCCCACTGAAAGCATTTCATTTCATTTAAAGAAATGTCACTTTGAAAAGGTCTCGAATTTTTATGTCCTTTTTAATGCTAACCATAGTTATATATATTTTTTAATTATTCAATGCGATCCTACTTTTTCTATACTTTTAATGGCACAGAAAAATAAATAAACAAGAGTATCTCCCAACCAATATAATGAGTCACACAAGTGAAACATATTTAGGTAAATAGAAAATTTTGCTATGTTTAACCAATCACCATAGAACTTAATACCATAATAATTATACCCACATACATTTGATTAGCATTTGCAAGTTTAGAGCACCTTTCCCATAAA